CCCCGGCTGCGCTCCCCGCTCCGCGCCCCCTGCGGAGCCGCTGCCCGGCCCCTGCCCGGCTAACTCTGCCCTGCGCACCTTCCCGGGGCTGATGCTGTGCGGCGCGGAGCTGGTTTTGGACAGCTCTGTTGAAAGTGCATCGCCGTGTCCTTTCGGAGGATAGAAACGCGATGTAAGCGGAATAAGTGGTTATTGTCTTGGAAGCAGGCGAAGACAGCGAAGCGCAGGGGGTGTTAATTGCAATTCGGGGGCAAGATTATGCGGGAATCTGAAACAATCCTTGCGCAAATGGGGACGCTGATACAGAAAATGTTATGCCATAAATGGAAATTTAAATTGGGGGGCGGTATATGGGATCTTTAGGTACATAAAGCAAAATTAGAATTAAAAATTATTATTAATAATAATAATAATAATAGAAATATGCTCAGCATTGTCTGACACGCAGCCACCATACTCCGGGCTTTGAGCACTTTCCCTGTGGTCTCCTCATTACTTCTGAGAATGGTGTGGAGGTAGCCTCAAAAATGCACTGTATTCCTTTCACTTGCAGACTAATTAATACTCGTGGCTTAGAATATGACAGTTTTTGTGTTTTATTCAGAATGTTCTTTTGATACTCTGGATACCATGATGAGTGTAGGCAAAGTACGCGCTCTTGATTCTCTCGTCCTCTCTCATCTGTCATTCCCATCCTCACGTGTTCGTACTCAGAAAGAGGAGCTGTACGGAACAGTGAGTTTGCTTATCTTCTTTGAAAGAGATTATTTTGTTTTAAATGCTTACTTGCAGGTATTTTGTAACTTCCCTGCAAGTTTTCATAGGTAAAGTTAGTTTTCACATGGCATATGTTGTAACAGTGATTAAAGCAGATGTAGGAAGTCCTTAACCTAGTTAGTCCTCTATGATTTCCTAGCATAAAGTGCAGGAATTTCACTACAGCACCATTCACCCAAAAAGACAATTTTTAACCTACAAAATGTATTTTAAAAAAAAGTTATTTATATTGAGACTTTGAATGATGATGTTCATAAAAACACAGGAACTTACTAAATGAACAAATTGACAGGAGAAAGGCTCAAATGGTAATGAGATATATCCATGTCCTGCATATAGTGTTAGGCCAGACACTTATTTTCTTTATCACCTGCATTTATACAGGCTATATAGTACTATATTGTACAATCTAATATTGTATGTGTATAATATGTATATAGGGTCTGTACACATATAAGGACATTTAAAATTATGTAAATATACCAACCACACAAAGGATATATGTGCACATGACTGAGTGTGTAAAGAAATTAGAGATTTCAAAAAAAATAAGGTGTATATTTCTCTTCCTGATCAACTCATTTTAAATGCTCTGTCTTCCTGATCATTGTAAATTGAGCTGAAGATGACATATTATTTGTATTGCTGCCTTGAAACAGTTGTGGATGTGTTCACAGTTACACCAAAACAATCTGTATACTTTGAGAGGGTGTATTACAGTGTGTTTTTTTCAATTGTGCTTCTTACACGTTAAATCTTTGTGAAATGGATTCAGAATTTGAAATCCTTTTTAGTGAATTTGATTTTTTCCTTTTTCTCTGCTGCTTTGTAGTGTTTTCTAATACTTCATTGTATTCTGTAGGATGCATAGCCTGTATTGCATCTCATCCAGCTGAGCGTTGGATCTTCTGTGAAGAAAAACAGAAAAGAGAAATATTACAACTGAACCAAAATACTCAAGCTAAATGGACCACAACCCTCAGATTTGGTATTAAAATCTCTGAGAGAAGAAGAAAAAAAAAGGCAAGGGGAAAAAAAAAAAGGCAACTGGGAACTTCATTGAACTCAATGTATTACAATTCAGACACCGTTAAAGTAAATGGTTAACCGGAACAGAACAATGTAATCAAAGATACTAATGTTGCTTTTTTGCTTTATTCTGTTTTGTCCTTTTTTCTTACTCAAAATCTGTAGGCCAGATTCTGCCTTTTATTTAAACTTGTGCGTAGTTAGAATGGCTTTCTTGATATTACTTAGCTTCCCTATACTGATACTAGCTTGATACTAGCCGAGCTTCTCTGTATTGAATTGCAATGGTCTAAGCAGACTTTGGAGAAATATTTAAAGAATTTTCTCCTTTAAATTTGCTAACTTTATCTCCACCACATAACTCACTCTGAAATTGTGGTACAAGAAATATGGGATGAGTTCTAAGTCTATACAAGCACACATAAGGAAATAAGCATGGTTTGAAAGTAGTTATAAAATTCTGTTTTCACAAATTCCTTTTTTGCAGGACTCAAACATTCTTTCTTGGCTACTCTGTGTAGGGCTTAAGCAAAATTTCAATAGCTTCAAAAAGGTGTTGAAGGTTAGCCTCAGACATAATTTATGAAAATGATATTCAGTCTTGGTTCTGTCCACACAAGAATGATCCTTAAAACTGGTCTTGACCAAAAACATTTGAACTGTGTTTTACAGTAGTAAAAGTAGAAATTAGGCTTAAGTAATAGAAGAAGATTTTTTAAACCCTGAATTTGGTCATTTGTGGTCATCGTCTAAGCAATTGCTAAGCAATCCTTAACCCATGCACAAGATTTTGTGTGAAATATGCAGTATACATTTTTGTACAGTTTTTTTCAATTCTTTGTAGAATTTTTAATATAAAAATGCATTGGGTTCATGACATTTGACTTCTAAGTAGTATGTTTATAATAAATCATTATATGAGACTTTCCATTTAGTCTTCCAGATGTAATGGCACTTATATTCCAAATATGGACCAGAGACGAATTTTCCGTATGGTGTCAATTTCAGATCTTCTGGTGGATTTATAAGTCAGAGTAGCTCTATTATGGTAAAGAAGGCAATTCATTAAATAAATATTACTAGTTCATAAAGAAATTGTAGAAAATTGGGACTGGCTTGTTTCAAACGCATGCTCATATAAAAAGTCCTTTTTATAGTTGAAATTTCAGTTTGTTTCGTTTTTTTTTAAACTATTTTAGTTAGCACAAATCAGAAATAGTGCTATAAAGCTTCACATTTTAAAGTCTTCACATACATCAGAATGGTAATAACAATTCACTGTCGAATTTTCTCTTGGGGGACTTAAAGTTATACACTGTGCTAAACAGATGCTTAGATTCTGTTTTTCAAATCTATGAATTTTCAATATACTTGAAAAGCACTGTCCAGAAATAGAGATAAGATGGTGTATCATCTTGCCATTTGATGGAAATGAAATACATTCTATAGAACACAAATTAGATTCACGTTAAATACATGTGAACATGAAATGCCTCTGCCTTTCCTGAGGAACAGTAGCAAAGAGTTGTATGGGGTCCAAAAATATGCTGCATCTGGGTCCTATAAGACTGCTTCCACTGATAAGTCTGAATTTGAAAACTGTTTTACTGAAGAACAAGAGCCTTTGGAGAATATGCTGTTTCTGTGTTGATCACTCTTCAGAGTCTGTTAGTATATCTCATTGTGCTGTGGACCTTCCTCTGGGAAGCCTGAGCAGGGCAAGCCAGTGCTATCACCCTGCAATAACATCTCATCTGGAGAGATTCTGAAAGGAGATAATTTCCATTGCTCACCTATGAATTAAAGGAATGCCTTTGTGCTCCGGTGCAACAAGAAGTAACTGCACACATAAGCACACCGTTGACTTCAATACTCTGTAAGATTCAAAGTTTCAGTTTTCCTAGGATGTTT